CAAAATCATGTCGGTTGGCCAGGTTTACATTTAGCTTACAAGAACGAGACCGCGACACCACCATCGCCTACATTTATATTGGACGAAGCTTATCAATATCTGATACATAAACGAGGTATTTTGGCAACCAACGGTGGATTAAATTTTGTAGGTAATATCAATGTAAATAATGCGAACTCCAAATATCCCGACATACAGATTTATCACTTTCACTATCCACGATGGCATGTAGATAATGTGAACACAATATGGAAAGTATTTCCAGCAGATGAGGAGATAAAGCAGAATGTATTGAAAATGCTTCAGGAAGTTGATATGGCGGTACCTATGCCGTGTCTACAAAAGCCGAAGAGCTCGGGCGAGTTGTGGCTACGTAGCAAGGATCCAGCGGTTCCTGTTAAGATTTATGCGAACACTTTCTCCCAGCAAGAAGATGTTGAAACGATGTTGAAGTCCTTAGACTTCATAAAGAAAATGCTGAAGACCGAGACATTTAAACGACGAGGAGTATGGCTGCATCATTTGGACATTCCAGGTTGTCGACACACTAAACCTGATTCGGAAGAGTATTGGAGATGTCACTTGCGACATTTGTCTATTATGTTCTACCATCCCGTTGGTAGCGTTAAAATGGGTCCACGAAGCGATCCTACGGCTGTAGTGGACGCTAGATTAAGAGTACACGGAATGCAAGGTCTGAGAGTCATCGACGCATCTATCATGCCAACAATCACTAGTGGACCCACGAATGCCCCTACGATAATGATAGGGGAGAAAGGCGCAGATTTAATTAAAGAAAATTGGGCAGCTGTGAAGGACAATCAAGAATTATAGAAAAGAGTACAGTTACGTTACATGTTTTCGGTTTGTTTATCATATATATTTATTCATATATATATATAATATATATATATGAAACTTTACGGTTAAAGTTTCATTTTCTCTATCCCGTTGTGTTATATGTATGACGAACTATTATACTGGAAAATTTTATTTTATAAAATTTGAGGATCAAACATTATATATATTATTTTATCAAATAATTCTATAACTAAATAATATTTTATTTCGTAATGTATTTTACTGTACGAAAGTGGTTTGATAAGTAACTTGGCTTGATATTAAAGAAAACAATTTGAATTGTGTAACGTAGTTCATTTTTCGCCATAGTTCCCTCGAAATTCAACGCTTTTGCCACAACGTTATTCCATGTTCGCTTTATTCGGTCCAAAAGTGATGCATAGTATTCTCCAGTAATGGTTTTCCCCTTCTCGAAGTAGTTAATTAGGAGAATTCCTTTCGAATCCCAAAAAACTGACGCCTTTACTTTACCAGTGCATGGAACAAATTTCTTAAACCCTTGCAAACAGTCGGCTGATGCTCGCATGCGAATTTGTTTTTGCTCAAGTATGCACAAACGCGGCACCCACCTTTCGCTAAGTTTTTTCATGTGCAATTCATTATGCAAAATGAAGTAAACCCGCTAAGTTAAAATACCTGTAGCCTCTGTTCACTCGCGCACTTTCACTGGTCTGTCGGCCAAAACTATATCACGAATTTGCAAATAATATAATTTCAATATTTTATAAACATTAAAAAATATAATAAATATAGAAGTAAGTTTCTTCAGTACTTTTTATTACCGTTAATAAATATAATAATAATCCTAGATTGTAAAATTTTACGTAATATTTTATAACAAAGTTTCATAATTTATAATTATAATTGCATTTTTCGCTAGACGAGTTTATTCAGTTCTGATTTTACTTAATGAGACGAAATTAAGTTTATCTGACTTTCTTCTCGAACAAGTAATATTATACGAAGCAACGAAGCAGTACAATAATATAAGTCTTGTATAAGTTTATGTATAAACGTTATAAATCTATCAAATTATACGTAATAATAAGATTATCTTAGATTATAAGAGCTATGTAGATTAGCAAAATTTTTGATAAATGATGGCATACAATCGTAAATAAAAAAGTAACATTTTTGGCAACATATACGCAACATGCCCTGCACGAATTTATAAAGGTTTATGAAAGATATAAACGCTAGGCAAAATAATTTGAATTTTTCTTACATAATATATGTGGTGATTCATGCAATGTCACGTTCCCGCTTAGCAGGGAGATTCATTAACCGAATAAATATTCGGTTCTCGATCAAATTTTTCACTGCCAATTTTGTTCCTCTATATAGTCAACCTTATGGTACGTACAACCAATCACAAGTTGCAACAGCCTTTTTATATACTTTGGAACACAGAAAAAATACGACAAAGCGTACCTATAACTCACCTACATGTACAGTAAATAGTCAAGCAGCTGTTAAAATTAAATGTATTAGATATATATATAAAAATGATACTCGCATGTATAATTTTCACAGATATTTGACTATATACTGCGCACGTCCGCTTCGTATGTTTTTGTGTTCCGAAAAAAATAAAAAAAAACTATTGCAACCGTCCTGTGACTGACTGTACCAATAGAATGATTAAACTAAAAACTAATTTAAAACTTTAGATATATCGACGTGTATGAATTGTAAGCGGCTGGAGCTGTTTTCAAGATAGATTTACTGCGTTCTGCGCATTAAAGTATACGAGAAAAAAACATTGAATATTCACACAACAAACGTATGCATATACATCCACTCAACTCTGTCCAATGGACAAGGACTAACTCATGAAGAAATTATAAACATCGCATAGTGCAAAGTTCAAAACTGCATTTACATAATAGACTCTACAAAGAGCTACAGTCGTTCCTGCGCTTTTCATAAAACACGTTGAACAAAACACTTCATCTGTCGTGAGACTTGATAAACTAAAAGTTTACACTTCGAGATTTCACTTTAAGAATTTCTGACATCCTTACCAATATATATCGGAAGATTGATTTGTCAACAAAAAGAACATAAAAACGAGAATACAAAATAAATCTTTCAATATACGGTGAGTAATCGTCGTATAAGTAATCGTAATACAAGTGTCCGTGTTATGAAATAATTAACTTAATATGTATAAACGCCGCTACTATTTTTTCCCCCCTAATAGATTATATTCCCTTACTTAAATCTCACTAATATTTTATATTCTCTTAATTAAAAAAAAAAGTAAACTAATAGCCTAGCCTAGAATTCCGAAAACAGGCAGATACATCAAACAAAATGCATTAATATGAAATATTATATATTCAATAGAAAGGAATCATTTCGTACGCGACACAGTCGAACATGGAGACGTGCCTGACAGCTACTT